TCAATTTATTAAAAATTTAAAGGCATTAAAACGACTGTTGCACAGCACAAGCTGATTACTCACTAAGGAAACACGTGCCAATATTGCTATAACCTAAGAAACCAATGGCTTTTTGCTGTCTCCAGATAGTTCCTATGATTGTCGAGAGAGCGCAGCACCTCCCAAGCAGAGAGAATCGATAACAAAATTACAATCCTAAATATTATGAAGAGAAACAGGGGGCCACTGCGCGTGGCCGGCCCGAGCTGAACAGGAAACGCGTAGAGGGCCACTACGCGTGGCCGGCCCGAGCTGCGGGGCTACCTTCAGCGCTGACAATGTCGCGTCATTAGACAGAATGAGAGGGCCACTAAGTGTGGCCTTCCTGATCCATAGGGAAGGAAAATAGAACGATAAATACGACCGCAAAGGGTTAAAAGTCGTAATGGTGACTATTATTCCTTTTGTAGTTTAAAAAGTGTATACGAATACGCCCAAAAGCTCTCTCCCCGCACTTCAAAATTGATGAAAATAAGACATGATAAATCATTAGTCTTGTATTTAAACCAACAAAATTTCTTAAAACCATTATTTGAAAACACACTGAATTTAGCTTTTTATAGGTATGTATGTAATTCTTTCAATTCAAAAACTATTTACACCAATTCCTAAAAATTAAGCTGTCTTGCTAAGATTTATTATTTTGTTGTTAAAACGAACAAAGCCGTCAGTGTCGTCCCTACCCTGTGCAGTTTGAAATTTTACAATTTGTATTTTAATGTGGTAGATTATCAAACCGTTAACTTGAAACTAGGGATGGTCAAGTCTCGAAATTTCGGGAAATTTTCAATCTCGTTACACGAGACGAGACTTCTTTTTGGCCGAGATTTTTATCGAGACGAGAATAAAAAAATAAAAAAAAATTTAAAACGCCTGCAGAAAGTCAATGCAATACCCGCAATACAAGAGCGTCTTGTAGTTGCGTTTCCTTTGCGAAGGCGTTCTTATTTAATTAATTCTTCAAATGTAAATATTACTTTAATTATTTTAATAACATTTGAGAAGTTTTGTTAAGTGTTAGCAGTGTGAGGAATGTTTTATTACTATAAAAAAAGTCAAAACAAGTAACTATTTTATAAAAATTAATATTTTATTTTATTTTAGGATAAGTTGAACTCTATCCTAACTGATATCACTATGTTTCCTAATCGTAGGCATTTTTAATAAGTTAGGCGTGATTAATAAAAAAATGTTATGCTGATGTTTTTTAATACAAGATTGTAAATATTCTTGCCTATTATCATTATTTTTGTATTTAAACAGTCATCTAACAATGTTACAAAATCAGGTAAAAATTCCGAACGTGCATTTCCCGTTGTCTATGAGAAGGGAAATCCCGTCTCGATCTCGTCTCGAAATTTTATGAGAAATAAAAAATCTCGTCTCGTCTTGAACTAAAAATCCAATCTCGTCCATCCCTACTTGAAACCATTTCGACATTTTTCTAAGAGCTTGATGGCTATAGTCTGATTTTTACCGGAGTGCGGCTGAAGCTCAGCCCTACCTGCGAGGGACCCGACTCACGCACGCACACTCACCACCGTCCTAATTGCCTGAAAGCCCCAATCCCCTTTTCACTAAGTAGAAATATAACATCTGTTGTATGATACCTCAAAATTACAATTCATTTGATGTTAGATATACAGTAAAATGGTTAGTGTTAATAAATTTGTTGTTTAATTCAATGAAAAATGAGTCCAAACACGAAATGATTATGACAAGTAGCTAGCTAATAAAAACGTGTTAAAATATTCGTAGCTTTTACACTTTTTAAGCAAAATGTATATTGTTTGGTATCATTTTACTAAGCATTTTGAGCTGAAGTCAAAAGCGTTACCAGATTTTATAACAAAAGTAAAATTAAAAAAATTGATAGTTTAATTTCCGTGAGCCACCCGATGACTCGAGTGGCAGGACAATGGTCCGTCCCACGTCCGTCCTAATCCCTTACGTCTGTGTGTGTGAGGCCTGCGTGTGTGTGAGTAGGGTCGACCCTTCGGCCAGCCGCTTTCCGTCAACAATCACACTATAAACTTAGTTCATGACTGTTTGAGCGAATTTCCCATATAGGGAATAAGCTATTACAGTGGTAAGACCTAGACCCGGGACCGGTTTACTTTTTTGCTTTGAGGCCCCCAGAGGCCAAAAACACCTTCCGTTCAAATTAATATATATATATTTATATATGTGTCCTTTAGCACGATAACTCAAGCAAAAGTGATCCGAAAATTTGGTGCAAATGTGCAAACCTACGACTATTCAAACGAGTTTGCAAACCAGCATAATCGGACTATGGGAACGGTTTATGGGGGTTTTATGAGGCAAAAATTGTTTTTTCCTATTTTTGACCCTAAAAACACAAAATTCCATAATTTCTCTCCAAAGCTTAAAAATACCCCCGCCGCAGAAAACCTGCAGACTAAGCGAATTTCCATTTGCCTGATTGGATTTAGACTAAAATGTCTCCTTAAAAATATCACATTTATTCCCTATTTAAATAGAATCAGTTTAACACATACTTAGGTTTGCTGCAACAGGGAGGGTAAAAGTGTTTTTTTATGTAAAATGTTAATAGTTAGTAAGAAACTAAGAAATAAAAACATTTTCCAAATTTGGCCAAAATATGTTAATAAACAAGCACACTACAACGGTTTACTTATTCTCCATAAGAATAACATGGGAATTTTAAATTAACAATTTTTTGGAATATTCTCCGTAACCATTAGCGCATTATAACGCTAGAATATACTAATTTTTTTGTTTTTTTAAGCTCTACAAAATAGTTAGGAAAGAAATTTCAAAATTTTATGTTTTTTGGGTCAAAAATAGGAAAACCCCATTTTTACCCCATAAAAGCCCCCATAAACCCCTGTTCCCATGGTCCGATCATGCTGGTTCGCGAACTCGTTCGAATAAACATAGGTTTACACGTTTGTACCAAATTTCATCAAAATCGGATCATTTTTGCTCGAGTTATCGCGCTAACGGACACATATATATATATATATACTAGCTGACCCGGCGAACTTCGTATCGCCTAAGTTATAGGTTTCCCCTAAGACACCGATGGAAAGAAAGTACCGTTACGTTTAATTTTCAAGATGATCTCGTTCGCATCGCTCAATCACGTCCTGGTTGAAGTTCGTTCGCTACGCTCACTCACCTTTGGGTTGGAGCTTGTTCGCTACGCTCACTCACCTTTGGGTTGGAGCTCGTTCGCTACGCTCACTCACCTTTAGGTTGGAGCTCGTTCGCTGCGCTCACTTGCCTTCAGGTTAGCTCGTTCGCTACGCTAACTCGCCTCCAGGTTGAAGTTCGTTCGCTACGCTCACTCACCTTTTGGTTGCAAATTAGCTGTTGTCATAAATGTAAAAGAAATAATAGTGCTGCACCCTGTTGGTAATCCTTGTAACTTTAATGCTATTGAACATCATAGAACAGAACCAACTTGTTTAATTGAAACAGCTGTTAAGATTCATTAATTCCATTTCTCATAAGGTTAACATGGGAAACTCCAGAGCCACTGGGGCGGAGCCCTTTTAAGAATTTCGAAACGGGAAATAGTTTACGTCCGATTCGCATACGTACAGAATTTACACACCAAATTTCATAACGATCGGTGAAGTCGTTCCGGAGGAGTTTGCAGACAAACACTGTGACACGAGAATTTTATATATTAGATATATATATATGAATTTGAACGGATGGTGTTTTTGGCCTCTAGGGACCTCAAAACGAAAAAAAAAATCGGTCCCGGGTCCAGGTCTTACCATGAGTACTACGGTAATAGCTTATTCCCTATATGGGAAATTCGCTAAAATAAATAATTTTGTATATTGAAGTGTTGTTGTATGCCCAATATTTACGGAGATAATTAAAAAAATTTTAAATTTTAAATTCCCATGTTATTCTTGTGGGAAAAAATAAACTGTTGTAGTTTACTTGTTTATGTATATATTTTAATCAAATTTGGACATTTTGTTTATTTTATACTAAGCTATCAACATTGCAATATAAAAAAATATATATATATATATATATATATATATATATATATATATATAAACACCTCAATATCTTCCCTGTGGCAGCAAATTTAAGTACTCAATTCAATTCAAAGAAACTTTATTCACAGATATACAAAAGTATACACGAATGGCGTTCAGAACAGTACATCGCCTAATAACTAGATAGAGTTCTGATACATTTATTTATATATATATATTTTATACATATTCAAAAATATTTATTTAAATGACCTTAAAAACTGAAAAATTCCTCAAAACTGTATACTGTTGCTTTAATTGCAAGAAATCTTTTCAATTTCCTTTCAAAGCATTTAAAACTCTTTTCTGATTTTATGATTTCAGGAAGATAGTTATAATATTTTATCCCAGAAACAGTTGGATTTTTGTTTGAAATTGCTTTTTTAGAATTATTAATTTGAATTTTCCCGATTTCTCGTATTATATGTGTGAATATTTTGTTGTTCACAAAAAATAATGTTATTTAGATGGGAAATAAATCTAAACTTTTTTAGGAAATATTTTTTTTTTTTTACTCCAGCCAGGTAAATGGAAATTGGCTTAGTCTGCAGGTTTGCTGCGGTGGGAGTATTTTTATTTTATTATGGCTGTCATATCGTCAGCTCGTATAGAGCCTTGAGGCACCCCCATAACAATTTTTCCCATTCAGAAGCTTACTTAATGTCTTCTTTTATAATGACTGTTCATTGAAAACAATCGCTTGGATATAATTAAAAAAAAAATAACAGCTTCTGAGAATTTATAGCTAGATAATAATTCATCAAGGAGAATTTTATGGTGCACACTATCAAAGGTTTAAATCCATTGCTGTATAAATTTAAATCCATTGCTGTTAAAAATTTTACATGCACATTAATAAATTAACCATGAATAAATTAGAAGCTCTAAGAATCACCTTTATTTGGGTATGTCTAGCTTGTGATGGACAGCATATCTACTTGCATGCAGTCAACGTGCAGATGTTGGAGATGACGTATGGCACACTGCGCGAGTGTCCGACCACTCTGACAGGGGTCATTGTAGAGAAGGAGGCTGGGAGCATGACTACAGAGCTGAGACGTCGTCTGCGCTATCTGCAACACTTGCCTGTGACTGCACAGTTTGAGGTGGCCGAGATACAGCTGTTGCCACCAGTGGTGACCCAGGACACATTTCTCGCTTTCAAAGGTAATGCTTTAAACTAGCAACAAATAAAAATATGATACAATCAGTTGCATTAATGTAAAAAAATATTTTCATATAGTTTTACAGTGGAACCTCGATAACAAGTGTCATTTTTAAATCCCCTAGAATTTATTTTACCCCTAATCACATGTTATTGCAAACCTCAATAAGAAGACAACCTTGATAACAAGTCTTATTTTATAATCCCCATCTTGTTATCAAGGTTCTACTGTATAACCTTCATGTACATAATAGTTCTTTTGCAAATTTTCTTAGAAGTAGCTCTATCTTATTGTAGGTAACACAATAAGACCTGGGACCGGGGCCGATTTATTTTTTCTTTTATTTTGATGTCCCCAGAGGCTAAAAACACTATTCTTTCGAATTACTTACATAAATATGTGTCCGTAAACGTGATAACTCGAGTAAATTTTGTCCAATTTTGATTAAATTTGGCTTAAAGGTGTAGAGTGGGATAAACTTGAATGAGTCCGCGAACCAGCAAGTTTGGGTCATGTGACCTGGGGTATTATGAGGTTTTGAAATTTTCTAAAAGTTCTTAACAAACTTTTCCCCTTTAAACATGAAAGTTGCAGATTTTTTTTAATTGAAGTGTAAAATGGAAGGTAACAGAGAAAACTAAAAAAAAGTACATTTAATATTCTTATGTCAGGGTGTAGCGAACGTGTTAACTAAAATAATTTAAGTAATAATTTAATCGTTAAACGAACGGAACAAAGGTAATTTTTGTAGCTGATTGATTTAAAACAAACCGAAAGATATCCACCGCTAGTCACTAGCAGGCAAGACTGGCGGGTTTTATGCAAGTCGGCGAAAACAAAGTTATTAAATTTAAAGGTTTAAAATCGAGTTCTGAAACAAAAATAGTTGTAAAACGAGAATGGGTGTGTTGAACGAAAATAAAGTGAAACGTAAAATTGGCCTAACTATTAGAATAGCTAACCTTCGTAAACCAATTAACGATGATCGTGCAAGCGTCGATAACAGGCGGGCGAATGTAACAACGAAGTTACTTTGAAGAAGGCGTACGAACGAATAATCCTGTCTTTGAGTAAAGTCTTTCGTTCCTGCCCGATCGAGGCTTACGCACTCAAGCGGCGAACTCAAGTACTACTAGACAACAGCTGATCGAATATTCAACTGTTGAGCCGGTCTAGTTTCTTCTGTCGTCTGTCAACAAACCAAGCCAAGCTACTGGTATTAAAACTTTATTCAGGTTACAAAAACGTATTATTCGTATTATTACCAACTCTCATCCACGCAGTTCTTGTAAGAAACATTTTCAAAATTTAAGAATTCATACATTAACGGGGTTGTATATTCTAGAATTATTAAATTACATACATTCAGTTAAAAATGAGCTACCAGAAACAATACATTTTAATCACAGGTATGAAACCCGAAATGAAAATATATTTAGACTCCCCAGTCACCGTTTGACCCTATATGAAAAATCTCCATTGTACGCTGGGCTGAGATTGTACAATGTGCTTCCGCCATGCTATAAGTCACTAAGCAAAACTAAATTTAAAGATACAATAGATAATTTTCTTATTGACAAGGCTTTTTACTTAATTGAAGATTTTTACAGAACTACAATTTAGAATTTTTTTTTTTTTGTGTTTAGTTTTAAGTTAAAAGTTTTAATGTTAAATATTTTATGTATGGATTTAATTTTGACAATGCACCTATTCTAAATGTTATAACATGTATGGAATGTTTTGTGCAAATAAAGTCTATGTCTATGTCTATGTCTATGTCTATGTCAAACAAACACCAGTTTGGGGTTATGTTGTCGTCGGCGTTAAATACAGTACTTGTAAAAACAGTCGGTTTAACTTTATTTGGTGAAATGGAATGCAATTAAGGATAAATATGTCTTGTGAGTGTGTGTATGTCCATCACTGTGATTAAAAATAGGCCTACGTTCTTTGGCCCATAGCCTAAGCTATGACCAACACATAGGCCTAGGAGTAGGCTGTTGTGGGTAAAAATCGGGTAAGTTCTGGTGTTAATTTCTTCGCAGTACGTTTTACCCCCTTTAACCCTTTGAGGTCAAATTTTTTTTTCATTTTGCAAAGGGTGTATCATGCCATTTGAGCAGTTGAGAAAATGGCGCTCGGTGACCTATACTTGCCATTCAACCAAAAAAATTAACTCTTGATTTAGTTTTTTTTTTTTTTTTTTTTTTTTGTCCTTATAGTATGCCATTTTTGAACAGTCGGCAAAATGGCGGGCGGCGACCTATACTCGCCATTCGACGGCAAAGGGTTAAAAATTGGTACCTTACATCTTTTGTGTAAAAAACAGTTTGTTGTTTGTCTTTGTTTGCTTTTTTTATGTTATTTTCAATAAATAATTTGAATCCCTCCATAGGTTTAACTCTGCTAAAGGCAGCAAACATACATAGGCCTACTTGTTTGTGAATAAATACTGGTTTACTAAGGTAGCTTTGGTCTTTTGGTTAATGAAAATAAAAAGGCATCCCCTATTGAAATATTGGAAATTGTCTTCGTTAAATGTGAAAAGGCAACTAAAGATGTGTTTTGTGATAAGATAAGTTCATGGTCAAAACCGCTTAATTAGCACCCCGACCCAGTTATTATTACTAAGTAAGTTTATGCTCCTCCTTTTGTAAAGGTTTAACAAAATTAGTGCAAAGTAAAGGCATCCCATTGACCAAACTTAACCCTATATTTGTTTCTGATCAACATTTAAAAAAACTACTATAAGTCTAGTGTAAGTTTATGTGGGGGTATTCCTCCTAAAGCTGCGGTTGACTTTACATATTCTATCAAAAAATGGCCTAATCACGCCTGATTACTATTTTGCGACTGGTTAGGGTTCCATTACCCAGTTATCGAAACCAATCACGAAATTACTTTTCATCAGCATATTCGACATGCATATTTATGATTAGTTTTAAGAAACGGAAACTACCTCTAGGTTTTACTGTTATATATCGATGCTCCCTTTATTACCGCGCATGCTAGGCTATGTTATTTGAACTTATTTTGCTTGGAGCAGTAAATACCCCCGCCACAGCAAATCTGCCGACTAAGCGAATTTCCATTTGTCTGAATTGATTTTCAATTAAATATATTTTAATAACATTAGGTTTAACGAGTACCTAGGTTTGCTGCTACAAGGAAACTAATAAAGTGGGTTTGTTAGTAAAATATTGATAGCTTAGTACAAAAATAAATAAATTTGCCAAGTTTGACCAAAATATATCCATAAACAAGCAAACTACAACATTTGACAATATTCTCCATAAGAATAACATGGGAATTTTAAATTTACAATTTTTTTAATTTTCTCCGTTACTAATAACCGAACAAAAATACTTTCATATACTGTACTAAATTATTTGTTTTTTTAAGCTCTTTAAAAGGGTCTAAAGGGAAATTGGAAAATTTTGTGTTTTGAGGGTCAAAAGTGAGAAAAACAAATTTTTACCCCATAAAACCCCCCTTAAAGCCCCGTTCCCATGGTCCGATCATGCTGGTTCGCAAACTCATTCAAGTTTATCCCGCTTTACACATTTTAACAAAATTTCATCAAAATCGGACAAAAATTACTCAAGTTATCGCGTTCACGGACAGATATATATATATTCCACTTCATGCAAACTATTGACTAAACACTACAACAAATCTCAAATATAAATTTTAGTAAATTGACAAAAAAAGTTTAGAATAAATCTTTAACATATGTTTTGAAATCAAAACAAAGCAGAAGTCCCATGATTTTTCTACTTATCACACGCTTAACTAATTCATATAAAAATATATATATTTGATAACTTTAACAGTAACATAATTTATTTCAACTTTCTAAGACGTAACTGAATACTCGTACTAAATACGTACTAAATGTTGTGTATTGTTTTTTACATTCGTGATGGAAAATGTCCGCAATAAACCTTTGAACAACAGTAACTAAATAGTTTTAATTATTATAGGTAACGTTATCCCTCGTTTATATAGTATTAGTGGGGTCGTATAGCTGCATATAGTGGCAGAATATTTCAGTTCTGGCGGAGAGGCTGCAATTTTAGGTGGTTATAGTGTACAAGTTTCTGAACCTAAAACCGCCCAGGACCCAATTTTTAAGGACCTCAGTCGTCCGTAATGACGTCATCAAAATGGCGGCCGTAAGAGGATGCTGGGTCCCCATGAATTGGCTATAACGACCGAATGCCTAAACCGATTTTTATGAAATTTGGCACACAAGTACTTTAATACATTATCTCGACCCAGGTTGTCAATAGTCGAGTTTGATAAAGTCGTTTCAAAATGGCGGCCGTTAAAAGCTAAAATAAAAAATAATCTTTCAGTGTTTTGTGTTCTCAACTCCCTCCAGAGATCTGCAGCAACCTATTTATTCACTTTCCTTGCAATCAAAGGTTGCATTACCGTCTCTGCATTTCATGGAATAGGCAAAATACCCCCACCACAGTAAACCTGCAGATTAAGTGAGTTTCAATTAAATCAATTTCAATAACATTAGGTTTCATGAGTACCTAGGTTTGTTGCTACAAGGAGATTAATAAAGTGAGTTTTTATTAATCTATATATATAATACGCTAAGCCGATTTTTGTGAACAGAACTCCTCCCTCATTTTTGGACCGATTTTTATGATTAAAGTGTCAAAAAAATTGCCCTGATCTGTAGTTTTGCAAAGTGTTTTTCGTTTTTTGATATCTTTATTAGTTTGGGCAGGATCTTACATCAAAGTTGGGTTTTTTCCCACAAGATTATTAACAAGGGGGAATCTTAATATTTAATTGGAAACTTTGCTCCATTAATTTGAGAGAACGGCTGGGCGTAGAAACTTGGTAGAGGTGTCCAAAGAAAGGTCTTGGTCTGTAGATGAGTTATCAAAAGAAAAACGAAGTAAATTCGCTGAGGGCTTTGCCCCAGAAGCCTTTAAAGATGCCTCCACAGATTTGTTTACATTTTGGTCAAGTGGATAATAC